TGTGGTCTACCTGCCCAAGAGGTTGTAAGCAGTTAGAGAAGGCTCTAAATCATTCTAGGATATTTCCTCTTACATTACTGTACTGTCTTTATTAATGATCAAATCGCATCAGATTGAAGGTATCCTTATAACCTTCCCTACCTAATCTGTGACATCAGACCAGTTGTACAATTTTATATTGTTTTAAAATAAACCAGTATAACATAATCCCTACAGTACCCAAGTAACTATTCTGAACTGAGTATACATGTCAGTTTCCCCCAACTTTACATCAGTACTAGAGTCTAAGAAAAACTAATTTCAATATTACCTACATCTTTTATAAAAAGATCCTTTACAAAGTACTATCTTCAGTTTTACATCATCCAGAATTGGAATTTTAAGTTTAATAAAGTATTAACTACCACCAATGCCTACCTTACCAGTGCCTCCCAAAAAAGGAATTCAATTTTTGTTGGGCTTTTTAATTCCCCATGTAAGGGCCACAGAGAAAACCATGTGAAGGAAGCTAGGGGCTCTTACCGAAACCCTTCTTGAAGTGCCTTCACATTCATGCAGGGCTCCAACGTCGCTAAAACAGTTGACAAAATTGAAAGACACCTCTCGTCACACTCATTGATGCGCTCCTGTTAAAATACAATTGCAAATACACCAGAGGTGATGAGATGTGTCCCAGCTTCCCTAGGCAAAACCTCTGAACTCACACTTTCAAAGGCCTAAGTACCAGACCAGGATTTCACGAAGTCCACAACACACAGCTATTCGGGAAATAAGATGTGACAATTCAGTGACTTTTCCAAATAACGGACACATAACCTTTTAAACACTGACACTTTCTTTTTTAAAAAATTTTATTTATTTTTGTTTAATTTAATTTAATGTGCATTGGTGTTTACATTAAAGTGTGTCTGTGTGTGTGTGGGGGGGGGCGTGTTGGGTCCCCTGGAGCTGGAGTTACAGACAGGTGTGAGCTGCCATGTGGGTGCTGGGAATTGAACTCAGGACCTCTGGAAGAACAGTCAGTGCTCCCAACCGCTGTGCCATCCCTCCACACCAACCCTTTCTTATCCATCATTGGAAATCCATTTGATATTGATTATATTCCTTTGCTTGTGAAATAACTTGCATCAAACATCATTCTACCTCTTCACGGGCCCCGAAACCACCATGGGGACAGTATGGAAGAACAGAAGAGCTACTAAAGTGTACAGGTCAATTGCTCCCATAAATGAACCCTAGACAACTGTGTCCTTACAATTTCCACACAGCCTTTCCTGAGCACCATGCTACAACTGCCCTGTGAACCTTTGTATTTGCATGGCTCACTGCATTTTATCACCACTGTCTGGGTCTCAGTTGGGGTGCTAGTTTAGTCCAGAAATGACAGGGCTGATCTGGAGAGAGAACAGTGCTGACACAGCTTCTCTAGCGCTCTACAATCCAACCTCAACTCATCTCCTAAGAGTAGGAGCAGAGTTGAGGAAGCCTTTTGCTCATTGCTAAAGCGGTACAACTCATCATTACTTACCAAGCTTTGAGTCAGAACTGGTGGACAGTTTAAAGAGGATAAAGTTGGAAGGAGTAGAGGATGGTTTTATTCCCCTGAGAGTTTCCTTAATAATGTATATACCCCACAACACCTGCTTTGAAAAGTCGTACTACCTTGTAGTGAGTAGCCATTCCAGCTTTGATCTGGAAGTTCCAACCCCCACTGAGGTTTCAGTAACTGTCACACCTACAAGGCGGGGCTGAGAGAGGACGCTGAAAACCCGAGATCCGGATGGGCCAGCTCTCTCTGTTCCTGGACCCTGGATGGTGGAGGTTGACCGAGCAGAGCTCCAGAGAACCCCAGTGGACTGTGATACACCTTCCCCAGACCCCGTGACCTACCTATCCCTTCATTTGTGAGTTACCCACTAAATAAATCTTCCTTTTAACTATGTGGAGTGGCCTTAATAATTTCACTAATACTACCTGACTCAAATGACTGACAGCACACTGCCCTTGTACCTCTGGCTAAATGTCTTTATAACGCCCACACACATTACAGAGGCAGAATCACATGCAGATTTTCTGACTCCAACTATGTTACCAGTGAGGATGCTACACAGTTGTGAATGCCTGTCCAAGGTCTAGTACATAACTGCATCACTGTCTGTGAAAAGTGAATCCTAACAATCATTTTAAATGACCACATAAGAAACCAATACAGTGCCCACCAAACAAAACCACACAATTTAAAAGTTCTTGCTTGAGGACGTATGCATTCAGTTTACATAAAAACATTAAAAACTCATATACCTATAGAGTCAATTCATGAATTCCAGTGAAACAGAGTATGTGATACACTATCTCAGGGAAATTCATGTACTTTAAGATACTTAGTTATTGAGCTTAGGAGTCTGACATAGCCATTCTTCTTCATATCTGGTGCCAGATAAGTGACATCAAGCAAGACACTGACACCCTTGTTTGAAATTGAAAATCCAGCTGGGTGGTGGTGATGCACACCTTTAATCCCAGCACTCGGGAGGCAGAGGCAGGCAGATCTCTGTGAGTTCGAGGACAGCCTTGTCTACAGAGCGAGTTCTAGGACAGGCTCCAAAAGCTACAAAGAGAAACCCTGTCTTGAAAAACCAAAAAGAAAGAAATTAAAAATCCAAACTTGAGCATGTCAATCCCTTGCTTAAAATTTCCCCAATGGACTACTGTGCTTCCTGGGCAAATAAAACTCCACTAGGCATAAACCTGTGGTACCAACCTGTGGTTGGCTGACACCCAACATATATTCACTGTGTGAATCAAGAAGCCCACTAGCTGTTAGCCAAGCAGCTTGAGATCACTGAATCTGTTTCCTAGTCTTCAGAGCCGGTGAGAGGATTAACATTATGTAAGGAAACTGCTAGGTCACCTCCTTTCCAGTCCCTTTCCCCTCAACTGTCCAACATCTTTCATCTCTCCCATTTTAGCTTCTTCATTCCCACTTAACCCTAGAGAAGGTAAGTGGGGCGGGATTTCAGATTTCCAAATCAAAAGAAATGGTCTAACTTAAGGCCTCCTAGGCATACAATATATAACGCAGAAATGCACAAACATTATATTCCACTGATGGTCTCTTTTAAGAAAGCGATACACGTCTCCTTTCCCTGACTCCTCCACAGTATGTTACACACAGTAAAGCCACACTTGAGTCTCCTTTTGACTTACCTGAATTGTCCTCAGCAGCGTCTGTACCATAAGAGTGTTCTGAGGGATGCCAAGCTTCACTATAGCATTAAGACTGAACAGAAGGTGGTCATAGTGCATGATCTTGGCTTCTCTCATCATCTGCTCACACAGCTGGCTAAAGGCGGGGTGGCTGAACATCAGCTGTATTTCAAAGCGCCGCTTGTCCTCAGATACCCTTTTGGCAATTGTCCACATCGCTAGGAAATAGCTACTGCCAGGGAACGTAGGTGCTTTTGAAAATGTATCCAGCACATCACTCAAAGAGTTACACTCCTGGGCCAGCTTTTTATGATTCACAGGGGTTGGTCTCGCTTTCCTGGTGAGCACATCTTCACTGGAGGTAGGATGGAAGTTTACTTTCATTAAAACACGATCAGATGTCCCATCAGAGACAAGAGAATGTTCTGAATCAGAGGAAAATCTTCTAGGACAAAGTACTCTGTCACATTTAAAAACAGCTGCATGGCTTATGCCTTTAGTTTGAGTACAACCATCAACTGATTTTGAAATACCCTGAAAGAGGTATCTAACAGACAGTCGCAGTCCCTCATCAAAACCAGTTAGCAGACTGTTTCTTGGGTTCCACTGTGAATGAACAACTTCTGGTCTGCCAAATCCCAGAGGATAGATCCTCAAGACTCTGCTTCTTGGAAGCGAGGTACTCAGTTGTCTGATGTTCAATAACAAGGAATGTGCTTTGTTATTCATTTTGCTCTCCGCTGGCAACACTTTCAAATACTCAAGATGCAACAAAGCTTAACTTCTTCCTAAGAGAGAGCGCATGCTGTGGACAATCCTGTAGGGGATGGGTGGATGAAAGGAAAAAAGTTAAAACTGTTGATTAAATACGAAAATGCATCTAACAGGAGCTTGCAATGGGTACCTATGAGCCACTATTATATCCCAATATGTTTCTTCCGCTTTTATTCCAATGTGAACATCGTTATAAAGTACCCACCTCAGTCACTTTAACAGTTGTGGTATCAAGTAATAATGATGATTGATGATGATGATGATGATGATTTCCCGTGTAGGTGTTCAATAAATCTTCCTCTGCTAAGGGCAATTTTGTTAACACTACTTTGGAGGCCTCCGTTGAAAACAGTATCATCGGCGGACACTTTCAACCAAATGATCTAGCAATGGCCAAAACTAAACCGTTAAGAAAATGCACTTAGACAGGAGGCCTTGCTTAGGTAAAGAAGAAGGAAAAAAAAAAAGGAAAACAGCCAGGGTGGTGGTGGTGCACCCCTTTAATCCCAGCGCTGGGGAGGCAGAGGCAGGCGGATCTCTGAGTTCGAGGCCAGCCTGGTCTACAGAGTGAGTTCCAGGAAAGGCGCAAAGCTACACAGAGAAACCTTGTCTCGAAAAAAACAAACAAACTAACTAACTAACTAACTAACTAAATGAAAACCATGTTCTCCGTGCTTAAGAAGCTCCAATCAGCCGGCCTCATCAAGTCCCCGAAACCGGAGCCCCCGTCTTTCCTCCACTGGGCCACCCAGCATCAACACACCAGCCTAAACTTAAGACCGAAGACACTGCTCAAACTTCTCTCCACCCCATAAAAGGACTACTCACGATACCGCCCACGATTCCGCTGATGCTCGCCACTCACTCACCTTGGGACAGAACCCCGTGGCCGCACACAGGCGCAGCCATGACACTTCCGCCCAAAGCGGCGCGGCCGGTGACATTCTACGGATTCCTGTACGGGTCCAAAAGCCTAGGTTCGCGGCGGCCATAGGCGGCCGCGCGCAGAATAGGGGAAACTGTCGGGAAAATAGTTTCTCTTCTCCGATGAAGAGACAGAGCCGAAGGCCGTAGGAGACCACGGAGCTTACAAAGATAATGGATGGTTGTTTCCATAAACTCAACCCATTCAAGAAGTAACTTTGAACTTCTTGCCTCGGGCGGTGCGGCGGCTTCTGAGAGCGTCTGCGCGGTTGCCAGGAAACCGCGACGCCGTGGTCCCAGTCTCTAGGCCTTGCTAGAGATCATGGCCAAATTCGTGATCGCGGGTGAGTTCTTCTCCAGGGCGCCCACAGAGCGTTTCCCGTGGCCGATAGTCAGTCTTATTAACGGGCTTCTCTTCTGCAGCCCCATCCTCTGACGGATCACCTCAGCCTTTCTAGATATTCCTTCCAACATGCGCGTTAGACGGTGGCGGTGTGACAAACTCGGATGAGCACCGGGGACGCAGTGGGGAAATTTTTCATCTCTGCCCTTGGCGAGTTTTAATTCCCTCGGGGGTACAAAACATATAAAGAATTACTTTGACCTCTGGGCGAATAGACGCCTAACGTGGGGATGTGGGATAGAGAAGAGATGGACACAAGAAACTAAGTAGAGAAACTGTTAAAGGAACCATCCCAGATAAAGACAAAGGCTAGAAGAGCTGTAGTCTAACAGAGGAACTGGATGTGGGAACATGGCGGGACCTGGGGTTAGACTTACAAAATAGAAACTAGACTCTTGTATCTTACAAACACTTAGGGGGAAAAAAGGTTTGAACTAAATCTTGAACACAATGAAGAATCATTGAAAGAATTTAAGCAAAAATAGTGACAATGGGTTTGCATTTTTAAAAGGTCATCTCGGCAGCTAGAGGCAACAACCCACTTACTGTGTCTGCTTGCTCCCTTCTCACTGCCGTTCAGTCTCTAGCCCTCCATTCCAGCCCCTCTGGCTACTTTTGCCTCCATAGGCAAACTGAAACTTGTCTATTGTTTTACCACCATCACCAACCATCTCTTGGGTAAGCTGTTCAGTCTTTGTCTTAGTTTGTCACCAGAGAAGACTGCTCGGACTTGGGTTCAAGCCAACAGAAAGTCTTTTATTAGCTGGCCCGCAACTACACCAGGTGTTCCGGATCCCAGGGTAGCCCTGAGCCTTTCTTGGGGTGACCTTTTAAGCACAAAATCCATGTTCTGGGTTGACACACTTCAGTGGACAAGAACAGTTAGCCAGAAGCAGAACTCCAGAAGCCAAGAAGCAAGATTAGTACGTTTTGAGACTTTCCCAGAACTATATGGACTTTGATGGATTGGGCCTTTGTTTCAGTTTTGGCAGGTGGTGCTGTCTACTTGCTGAGTTTTACAGCCTTAATGGTCCATCACAGAGTTAGTTGTGCTGAGGTCTGGGACCCTGTTCCAAGTTGGCTTCTTGGTTACACTGAACACAATTGGCATTTGCCATCTCTGTGGAAGTACTTCTTTTGCTTCACTGCTCATTCAGAGAAATATTTTTAGCACTAGAAAACTGGATGGTGGGAATACAACAGACAAGTTTCAGGGCCTGCTGGATGTAGCAGTAACAGTGTTCTAGAAGGAAAGGTGGCAGACGGCCTCACTAGGCGAGGGCTTGCAGAGGGAGAGGTGGCTAAGCAGATACCAGAACAGTAAGAGTTAGAAAGCAGAGAAGATGCAGGAATAAACAGAACAGTCTAGGTATGGAGAACAGGGAGCAGAGCTAGAGTGTGTGACTATTACAAAGACGATGTATGGTTGTATATGGAAACCCAATGCCTTCAGGCACTAACTTGGAACCCTAGCTTTTCTGAGTGTAACAAGTCTTTCTCTATCCCACCAGCACACCCCAACCCACAAAATGACACAGAGATTTATTATGAATTAGGCTTGTTTCCAACTAGCTCGTATAACTTAAACTAAGCCATATATTTTAATCTACGTTCTTCCACGCACTTGGTACCTCATCTCCCTTATTCCCATCCTGCTTCTCCTGCATCTGGCTCTCAACGCTGCCTCTCTTCTTCCCAGAGCTCTCTCTGTCCAGATGTCCCTGCTATTCCTCCTGCCTAGCGATTTGCCATTTAGATTTTTATTAAATCAACCACAGGGACATATCTTCACACAGTGTGGAGGAATCTTCCATAACATCTGAGAGCACTTGGTGGTGAAGATGCCAGGAAACCACGAAGCCACGGTCACAGTCTCTAGGTCTTGCTGGAAATCATAGGCAAATTTGGTGATAATTGAGAGTATTTGGTAAGCATGCAATTGAAATGAGTCTAATAGGACTGAATGAAAGGGTGCAAGGAACAGTGTCCTAAGCTGAAGGCAGAGGGAGACAGTGCAGATTCTCCTGAGCCATATTCAGTGGTTTAGACTTTGGCCAAAATACCTGGAAAGTTTTTTTTTTTTGTTTTTTTTTTTAAGGAGATAAAGCAATGAAGTTTTTATCTTACCTGAGTGTTAAGGATGCGACAAGAGACCAGTTAGGAGCCTGGAGCTATGTAGTGCAGGAAGCAAATGCTTTATCATTGTGGTCAATGTGAATAGAGAAAAATAAATGGACTAGGGAATGATCTGAGAGACAGAATGTGTGGAACAAGATGTCTAATTCACTAAGTGAGTGCAGGAAATAAAGGGAAAGTTATACGCCTAAGCAGTGGATAATCAGGTAGATAGGGTCATTTGAAAAACCTTCATCAGAAGAATAAGTTTAATAATCTAGATACTCATAGTATTTCCTCTCTTTTTTTGAGACAAAGTCTCACTTTTTAGCCCTGGCTGATTTGAACCTGACTTTGTAGGCCAGGCTGGGCTCAAATTCACAGAGATCTACCAGTTTCTTCCCCCGGAGTGCTGGGATTAAAGGTATACAACTATACCCGACTACCCTTAATATTCTTAAATAAGGAGCTGGACATAACTGTTGTTCGAATGTTAAAGGTCTTATGATAAAAAAAAAAAAAAACCCAGAGCCAGATATCAGGGTGAAAGCCGAAAGATCAAAGAAGCAGAGCAGCCAGCCACTAGTTCTTACCTCTATGAAATCCTCAGCCTAAAGAGAGTGAGTTCCTGTTTCCTCACGCCTAATATACCTTTCTCTGCCCTGCCATATTACTTCCTGGGATTAAAAGTGTGTGTGCTTCCCAAGCAAAGGCATGAGATCTCAAGTGCTGGGATTAACAATGTGTGCCACCACTGCCTGACCTCTATGTTTAATCTAGTGGCTGGCTCTGTCCTCTGATCTGCAGACAAGTTTATTAGGGTACACAATACATCATCACACACAAATGCTCTAGAATGTAGGACTCTTCTACCTTTTTGGTAGGAGATGTGGAATTGAAATGACCCACATGAGATAATTATTCACAATGCACTGGTTAAGCCAATTAAAGTTTTTAGTTCTTTTATTAATGGCTAGAACAAGAGTGGGCTCATGTCTCTGAAAAGTCTCCTGGTGCCCAAGCTAAGGGGTATGGCATTTTTAAAAGCAAAAATTACAAAGACCATAATTTACCTCGAAGTTAGGTAAGGGTCAGTGTATCCTTGAAAAGTTCATTCCTGGCAACACTTAGTAATTATTTCAGACATAGCATGACAACTATTTTTAAATCATATCTTCTTTAGTTACTTTATCTAACTTTAATTGTTTTGGTTAATACATCCAGAACGTGGTCAAGGCCATACAAATTTCAAATGTGTTGCCAAGGCAGACACAACTATGGGGGTGGGTGGAAATGGAGGGCTGAGAACTGTTTAAGCAAACCCAAAATGGAGTTGGAACACGATGGTCTTACCTTAGTCGTTTCAGAACAGAATCCAAACTTATACTGCCCAGTGCCCATTCATAAAGAGATGGTAGAACTCAGGAAAGTGTAGGCATCTTCATAAGACACTGTGCTCGGTTAGGAATACAGATTGCTGGCTGAAAATAAGGAGTTTGGCCAGAAAAATATGCAGATAAGGCATGAAATCATGTGCCTTGCAGAATGGTTCCTTTTCATGGATTGGTGAGGAAATGGGAACTTACAGAGCATAGAAAAGACTAGCCAGAGAGTTAGAAAGAAAACCTGCAGAATATCCCGCCATAGTGATGCTCTCCAGGATTTACTCCACAGGAAGTGGAAACAAGAGTAATCAACGCTACCAGGGTCAAGGAGAAAGAATCAAAAATTACTTATTGTATTAAGGACCTCAAGGTCTTTACTTGTTTATATTTAACTTATATTTAATATAATTAATATAAAATATATTTTACGTTGCATATTATATTGTATACCATAGAAAATATAATTAATACAAAAATTCATAATTTATATTTAGTACAGTTTCCTTCTGGGAAATTGTGAGAGATGCTATATTATAGTGGAATAATAAATTAATAAAAATATAAGAGCCGAGGGTGGCAAGGACAGAAGATTTTTAAAAGATTGTTTTAATAAAAAGGGGCACATAGGGCCAGGCGGTGGTGGTGCATGCCTTTAATCCCAGCATTCAGGAGGCAGAGCTAGGCGTATCTCTGTGAGTTCGAGGCCAGCCTGGACTACAGAGCGAGATCCAAGACAGGTGCCAAAACTACACAGAGGACCCCTGTCTCAAAAAAAAAAATCAAATAAATAAAAATAACAGAAAGCGGCACATGGAAAGCAATTCCCCGGGGAGAGGAGACATGGACTTTTTGTTGATTAGGGAGGAGAAACTGAAGTTTAGTTAAATGCATTAAAATATGCTTGAAAGGAGACACTAGAAACATAACTAAGCGTCTAATGGGATGGGAATAATTTGTTGAGCAAGACTTCTGAGAAGACAAAGCGTCTTCTCAGAAAGGGGTGGTCAGAGTCCAAGTGGACTCCTTTTCCTTTGGAAACTTCTCCATTCTTTATATCCATCTCCCCATTATCTTCTCAGTGACGTCTGGGCAGAAGGAATCCAGATGCAGAAAAGGCAGGTAATTGAGGTCATCTTGGGTGCAGGGCTTTTACAAGCTAATTTCCCAGGAAATGGACAGGATAATTAAACGTGAGCCATAAAGGGGCTTTGAAGTAATTAACAATGGATTTGAACTGGACCGAGAGGCTTATCCATACAGAGGTGTTGAGAAGGATTGATGTTGAGGGGTTTGTGGGGCTGGGGACAGGCACTTAGCCTGTCCTCCTAAACTGACATCCACCTGACTCTCTGGGACGGTTTAACTTCTTAAGTGTTCCGCACGGCAAAATGTGCATCTGAAGCTCTCCCTTGGCACCTGCACCTCAGACTGGACATCAGACACCCTGCCAGTCACATATGCCCGCATGCCCTGCATCCCTCCTAATACACTTGTCTGAATACCTCACCCATGGTTTCTCTCCAATAAGGCCAGCCGGAAAATAGACGTTGGTCCCTCATTCTTCCTCCTCCCTCAGCTTGCCCACAATTCTGGACCATACATCAAATCTAAAAGGGAGCACATTTCCACTCCTTTCCTCACACTTTACCTTCCAGTGTTTGGGTTTTTTTTTTTTTTTTTTTTTTTTTTTTTGGGTTTTTTTTTTTTTTGGTTTTTTTGTTTTTTGTTTTTTTTTTTTTTACATTAATTTGTTTTACGTGTGCGGGGTCGGGGGAGGAGTGCACACAGAGGTTAAAAGAGAGCTTGCAGGAGTTGCTTCTCACCTTCTAGCATTCCTGGAGATCACACTCATGTCCTTAGGCTTGGTGGCAAGTGCCTTTATCAGTTAAGCTGTCTCACTGGACTCTTAGTGGCTTCTAATGAGTAGCTCACTGTTAGTGTGTCATGCTTAAATAATATGGTGCAGTCTCTTATGTAGTCCAGCAGAGTACTAGAGGAGAGTAAATATTTAAAACATTGCCTTTTCCACAAAATTTTATTATGGAAGACTCTGGCCTATGAAATGTTCCTTATTTTTTTTATTAGTATAACAAAACTAGATGTCTGTGTTACAGAAGATTATTTTGTACTTTTGTTGTAAAAGTATATTATAGTCATGGTGTGTTCTCTAAGTGTCTGGCAAATCCTCATAACAGCATGGCAGTTTGTATGTGTTCAAAGACAGCTTGGCTAACTTGAACTCTTCTAGGGAAAGCAAACTGCCCATATTATGCTAAGGCGGAACTCCTGGCAGACTACTTACAGAAGAATCTTCCTGATTTTCGGATTTTTAAAATCACACAGCATCCTGACATGTGGGAGGTAAGAAGATTTACAGTTACTAAATGCGCTTATGCAAGAAAGTGTTCTACTTTGATTAAATGCTGGCTGGTGTATCTTTTTGGCTTCTGATGATGGCTGTATTCTGATGATGAACTATTAATGGCATTTGGATACTAGTAAAAATGAGCTCCTACTTACCAGTCTCAAAACATGGCTTTTTGCTATTACCTAACAGCACAAAGGAGACTCCAGTAAGTGGAATAAATGTGTTGGTTCCACTCCGACCATACCAAGAAAACAGGTAGTTTGTATTTCATTACTTAACTTTTTCTTTCTCCTCCACACGGAGTCCTAATGGTTCGAGGACTTATTTATTTGAGATATCCCTATCTGTGGCTGTGCCGCCCCCTGAACAGACTTCAAGATGGAGATTTTGCAGATTGAATTCTTACTGGAAAGTGCTCCCAGGACATCCTGAGAGGAAAGGAAGATGGAGGGAGCAGCAGTAGACAAAGGGAGGAGCTACATCAGGAGTCAGGGAAAGCATGGTGGGGATCCCTTCCAAGGTGTCCCCCATGTTGAAGAAAGGTAGCTAGGCTTCCTGCATCAGCCACTCGCCTGATGCGGGCTGCCCCAAGAAAAGGGGGCTTCATCTCAATCAAGGGGAATCTCTTTAGCTGAGGTCAGTCCTCGAGAGAGATTCGGCAGTTAAGCCTTTGGCCTCTAGTATCTCTGGTGACTGAGGGCACGTGTGCTTTGGTTATAAGAGGGAAGGAACCTGGACTATTGACAACTATCTGCTACGGTCCACCCACTGTGCCTCCGGATCCATGTGCTCCATTAAGTAAATTCACACCATCTGGTGACAGCTCTACTGGGATTCAGATCAAGATCTTTCCCTGGGAAGACTTTATTGAAGGAAGGTTTGTTAATGAACTGTATTCCCCATTGCACAGAGTTTCAGAGCCAAACTGGCACTCATCTCTCTTCCCTGCCACCCATTAGAGGTCCCCCTCTACTGTTCTAGGCCACTCATTAGGTGCAATGACCTAGTTCTGCGTACTTAAGGGACGTGAGCCCCTGTCCCTTTTGAAAGACACGACTATTACACTTCCCCTTGTATGGTCAAAATTGAGCAGAACATCGCCAAAGATGCCCAAACGGTAACCTAGATGTTGAATATTTTTTTACCCTGGGTGGTAGCTGTTGCACATCCTTCTGATTAGCAGGTCCAGTTACCCTTCCACAGCAGTAAATTCTTTCTTTGCTGGTCTCTCCTCTCACTGTAACCAATGTCAACTATAGCTTAAAGGTGAGATTCTTCTTATGTCCTCTGATAGAAATGCTCCTCTTTGGAAATTTAAAACCTTCTAACTCAGACAGACTAGAGTAAAGAAATTTGGGGAAGCATAAATTCTCCAGGAGGAAGCCTGGGAATGATGGTGAACAAGGTCTTTCTTAATTCTGCCCTTTGATTTCCAAATTCTAAGTAGTCCACCCGATAGAGGGAAATGCTACATTGATATATAATACGTTTTATGACCTGAAGGAGAGGAACCATTCTTGCCGTATGTCAGTCTTCTAGCTGGTGTCCACAGCCTTGCTGGCCTGCCCTGGCCCTTTATCAAGCTTGGTGATGTATGATAGAGACACTGTATCCCCTAATGATATGCTCAGCCCTGTACCTCTTCTCTTATAAAGTGATCCCTTGGGTTCAAAGATGTGTGCAAACCCTAGAGGTGGCAGGTTAAACATTTTGTAAGTGCGTAGGCAGGGTTTCTGGGAAAAGCACGCCAAGCAGGAAAGGCCATCCCCTGCCCAGAACATATGCTGATTTCCAATCCAGACAAATCATTTTCCTTTACATTGTGGAGAGAATCCAGTGTCGTCTGTTTTACACAGAGGCAGGTTGATGTCCTCAAGGGATGGTGCCATTACCAACCACTAGCACTGGTCTTTGTTGCCGGCACACTGACCATTTAGCCATGGTAAGAACTATCTAGGCTTTTAAGACTAGAGGCCCTTCTCTTGGACTGTTGTCTCACTTCTTGTGAGGCCGTTTGCCTAGGCGTGGCCAAGTTATCACGTCTGTGGGGCTGGTTAGCATTCCTCTCAAACAGATGCTCTCTGGTGGGCATCTCCCCCATCCTCTGTACTTCCATATCTTATTATTCCAGTTGGTTGTCCCACAAGGTGCCTTCCCTTTCCAGTACATTTCTTGTGACTCTGGTGAATGAAGCATTGTCCGGGCCCCCCAAAATGTAGTTGAGTAGCAGTGTATCCTGATTCCCACAGTGCTGTGCCCACTGGCCTTTTTTAATTAATTAAATGTAGGTATTTGTGAATTTTGTGGCGAGGCCTGAATGTGCTGAGATGTAGGGGAAGATGAGAGAATATTTATTTGCCGAGTCTGTTCTATCCCTCAACTCTGCGGGTCCCAGAAATGGAACTCAGTTTGTCCGGCTCAATGGCAGTCACTTTCTCCCTCAAAGTCATCTCACCAGCCCTCCACTAACCTTTGACCCCTTTGTCTACTATCTTCCTTGGCAGATTTATCAATTTCACATTATGTGAGTCTTCATTTTCTCCAAACTTCCGACCACCAGTCAGGCAATACATTGTCACTGTACTCTGGGGACCTCCCAAAAGTGCAGAGGCGTGATTCCCACGGAAAGAGTCTCCCTGCCCCTCTTTATGTTCCACCCCAGATTCAGGACTCTGAGAATTCAGTCCCACCCACTCCTCCAGCTGCTGAAAGGACAGTCCCATATCCTCCTTGGTATAATCCTTTAGCGTGGACCACTTTCTCCCCTCGCCCAGTGTGTCCCCAGGCGAGCTGTGCAGTGATTCAGGGACCACGTTGGAAATCTGAGTCTTCTCGCTTTGGGATGGAATAAGAGCATGGGCAGCTTCAGCACCAGCAGGAAATCGAGTTTGTTTATGAGGTGGCCTCAGTATACGTGCCTCCAGCGGTGGGGCTTTAGGACTACTCAAGTGTACCTTACCGATAAGAATGCTGTCCCCTGCTGCTTCTCAGATATTGTCACTGAAAATCTTGGTTTACCCAAACCAGATAATGCTAACTTAAAATTCTTTCTGATAAGTATGATAAGAAGTCCCCCGGATAACTTTTAGCTCATTAATTCAGTCTAAACCATAAAAACCATGATCATAGATTTGAAAAGCAGTATCAAAATTTATGTGGTCATAAAACTATAAATAACTCATATATAATAAAAATCCGTGTTTTTTAAAAACAGCCAACTCATAATACCTGTCCTCTCTTTAAGTTAAAGACATGCACTTCAGCAAAGGAGCGTTAAGCTATTGCACTTTATTTGGCCACTGGATTTGGAGAATATCCCTTGTTATTTATCTCATCACTATTTTCTTTATTTCATCCATTCATTCTTTGGTCGGGTGGTTGGCCATTTGTGGTTTTTTTTTTGTTTTTTTTTTTTTTAATTGAGATGAAGTCTTGATGGCCTGGAAGTTGCTATATGGACCAGGCTGGCCTGGGTCTCACAAACTGGCCGGGATCCACCTGCCTCTGCCTCCCCGATGCTACAAGTAAAGGCATGAGCAACAAAGCTCTTCACCATTTTCTATGTTTCTGATTTACCCTTTGAATATATCTGAATGTATTATGCACAGTTAGTAGCATTAAAAACAAATGGATACTTCATTGTTTACATCCCATAATACTGAACTGAATCCTTAGGCAGATTTAATATATGACTTTTATTGGAGTATTTTCCCGCAGGAGTGGCTGGAAGAGATTTGTGAGGAGAACAAGTGGGATCACAGTACCTCCCCCATCATCTGGAGAGAGCTGCTGGACCGTGGAGGCAAGGGCTTGCTTTTGGGAGGGTACAATGAGTTCCTGGAGCATGCCCAGGTAGGGGCCTTACATTGCTTATCTGCTCAAACGTCATTGCTTTCTAAGCCATTATATCCTCTTTCTCCCAGTCTGTTTTCCATTCCAGTCTTTGTCTGATCATGTTCTCTTCCCTGAGGTTGAGTTTTTCTTTCCTGATGTTTAGCTTTACTATGGTGTCACTTCCAGCATGACAACCGACCTTATGATGGTCATTGCTAAAGAGAACCTGCAGACACATATAGAAGAAGAGCTGGAGAAAGAAACTTTGAAAGACCTCATCAGCCCCCTGCAGGTCTGGATTGCCAGGTGAGAGAGTCAAGCCCCAGGATTTACGAGCCTGGATCTTTATTTTTAGAAAAGACATTGGGATGGGATTGATTCAACGATGAAAGAATACCAAAACAGGTTCGAGATGCGTGTGTGTGTGTGTGTGTGTGTGTGTGTGTGTGTGTGTGTGTGTGTGTGTATTCACAGGTCTGGGTTGGTGCATGTATACAAGTGCTTCTGTGTCTCTGTCCTTCAGCATCCATCCCCCATGCGATTTAGGATTTACAGATATACATGTCTTCACACAATCTGAAGAAACTTTCCTGGCATGCGTCCCTCTCTGATGGTTGTTCTCTCCCTCTTCCCTACCTGCCGGTTTCCTCAGTTCTTCCTCATGCACTCATGAACTGTCTGCAGCCCTGATCCCTGAAGTCTCTTCCTTCCTCCTTCTCAAGTGTGCTCCTCCTTGTCCCCACTCATCACTCCCTCTCTTCCCATCTCTGTGCTTCCACCCCCTCCGTGGAGCTCACACTGTCCTTCTGACAACATGTAGTATCCTAACGTATACCTGCTTTAAGGAAGTGTGTGTAATTATGGGATACTACAAACCCTGAAAAGATTCTGAAATTGGACCGTACATACCCATGACCCTCTCCAAAGTCAAGGACTGAAATGGATACCAGCACTGTACCCTCCTCAAGCCCACCAAGAGCAATAGACATTCTCAGATGCAATTTCCAGCTCCTCACAGTTGATCATCACTGAAACAGGAGGTCCAGGAACATTTGGTGTCAGATAGAGCACACACACACAACCTGTGCTTATCCTAGCCATCCCTGTAAGGACTTTTCTTTGTGAGACTGTGGGAAAGATAATCTGCCCCCAAATAAAAGCATTCATTTGTAGATAAAGGTATGAAAGACAATAGCTAACTGAAGCATTCGTTGCTGTGGGATGTCTTTCTGTATGCTATGAATATGTGTTGCTCTGAATGGTTGATTTAAAAAAAAAAAAAAGCTGTTTGGCCAATGGCAAGGCAGAATAAGGTTAGGCAGTATTTGCAGATTGGAGAGACAGGAGAAGAAAGGAGAGGAGAGGGAGAGAGACACCAGCCTGCTGCCCAACAAGCAACATGCCAACAGACTGGTAAAGCCACGGAACACATGGCAAAACATAGATTAATAGAAATGGTTTAATTTAAGATGAAAGAGCTAGCTAGCAAGAAGCCTGCCATAGGCCATACAGTTGATAATTAATATTAAGCCTCCGAATGATTATTTTATAAGCGACTGAGGGACCACAGGGCTGGGCAGGACCTCAGGAGCCAGGTGGGACCAGAGAAATCTTTCAACTACAATACATCTTTGTCTTTTCATGAAGAAGCATGGGCACATAAGCACAACAATCTGAAAGGCGTTTTTATTTGCTTGGTTATTTATTTTTGTTTTGTTTTCTGCATGTGAGAGAACTCTTTCATTTGAAAAAATCTAATACACCAGCAAATTCTTATTGTGTGGTATCACCAGATGCCAAAATGTAGTGAGTAGTGAGACTTTGTCATTCCACTTTTGATTGCTAGCCACATCTGTGCAAGTGTGCGAGTTTTCATGTAAAATAGTGAATCATCCTATGGAGCACCTGCAGAAATATCTGTTAAGAATAAAATGCATAAGTAAGCAAAAAAAAACCTAACCATTTTCCATCCAACTTTTGCATTTAACCAGTGCAGGTGCTCATGTGTGCTACCACATAATTCCCCTCTTGGCAAGTGGAGAAGTGTTTGGGATGGACACGAAGATCAGCCTGACCCTGTTTGACCGGGAGCAGATGGAAGACTGCTTGCAAACCCTAGCGATGGAAATCGAGGACTTGGCGTCGCCCATCCTCCACAGTGTCTCCCTGTGCACTAACACAGAGGAGGCCTTCCATCAGGCCCAGGTCATCATCATCCTGGATGACAGCACAAGCGAGGAGGTGTACACCCTGGAGAGCTGCATGAGAAGCAGGGTGCCCCTGTGCCGCCTCTATGCTTACCTGATGGAGAAAAATGCTCACGAGTCTGTCAAGGTCATCGTGGGAGGGAAAGTCTTTGTAAACCTTAAAACGGCCTTGCTGATGCAGTTCGCCCCTCACATTGCAGGCAACATCATTGCCGTGGCGCTGGGGGTAGAAGGACAAGCCAAGGCCAAGGTGGCCCGGAAGATGAGAACAACCTCAGCCAGTGAGTGACCACCTACTGCTGTCTTGTGTGTGTTGATACATGGGTTTAAACAGCAGGGAGGGAAGTCTGCATCCTACAGGACCATCCAACCGGGAGGCGTGGCCAAGAAGTAAACACAGATGTCAGGAGCATCTTAGGAGGGATGGATGGAACCAGTGTGGCCCTCCCTCATTCAGGGGATGCCACCTAGACTACCCCATCCTCTTGCCTAGTTTTTTCCTGTGCACACAGGCTGTGGTCCAGTTTAGTTCATAAACCCGGGGCCGGAAGAGTTTAACAATAATAAATAGTGATAATCTAATAAACCAATGATAGCAACATACAATAATTGAAGTGATCTAAAAGTTACCCATTGCTTATATTTGGAATTTTCCATATAATGTTTTTAAGTGCAGGGCTGGGATTGTAGGTCAGTTGGAGAACTCTTGCCTAGCATGCATGAGAGTCCAGGCCATCTCCAAACCTGCTGCAACCTCCATTAAAAAAAAAAAAAAGTATGCGGTTAACTGAGGCAACCTTGAAATGTGAAGCTGTGGATAAAGGGGGCGATGATGCAAACTTCCTTTCACGTATTTTATGACTTTGTCCATCATTATAAAATCGGCAAATATTTGTTGTAATAAGATCTCTATTCGTCAAGCAATAATTTTGAACCCAATATCCTATTCTCCCATTATAATAATGGGAAAAGTAGTGTGCATTGTTTAAAAATTATCAAGGCTATATTAAAACATCTTTGCCTCCTTTCCCACTCATATGACTCTGAGCAATCAAATTGCTGTACCTCAGATTTAGCATCTTTAAAAAACAGCAACTCCCTCCCAGAACTAGTGTGAAGATCCAATGAGACAATATCACAGTCACTTTTCTGTTGTGGTGAGATGTGGTCACCAAGGCAACTTACAAGAGAAAGCATTTGACTGGGGGCTTCTCCTACAGCTTCAGAGAGTGAGTCCGTGATCGTCACGGCAGAGAGCGTGGCAGCCGGCAGGCATGGGCTGCCTCAGTAGCTGCGGGCTGACATCTGTTCCATAAGCATAGTGAGGCACAGGTGGGGAAGTGGGGGTGCTTTTGAAACCTCAAAGCCCACCCCAGTGACATACCTCCTTCAGCAAGGCCACACCTCCTAATCCTTCCCAAACAGTTCTGCTAATGGAGGACTAAGTAGTCAAGTGTATGAGCCCATGAGGACCATTATCATTCAAACCACCACAGACAGTATTTCTAAAGTACCCATAAAGTTGCCTGACACATGGTGAAATTTAGAAGGAGATTAAACTTACATGTTTATTACATCAAATTAAATTTTGTTCTTACTCTTTCAATTGGTAGATCTCAGAAGCATATGAAAACGAGACTGGATCACATTTAGTATATTTTAGCTCTTTACATCCTCTGATCCTTTGTGTCCTTACAACAGCATCCCTGAGGATGAAATTATAGGCATGCTGGAAACAAAAGTTGGTGAGACCGTGGATGTGAGCTGTTCACAGTCCAAGCCAATGCAGTGCAGGATGCCTGTGAGGACCTAACAGAGCCAGTGCTGCTGGTCACCCCTTTGCAGAAAAGCTCAGAGTTCTTCTATCTTCTTGTATTAGCTTCACCGTCCTACCCTAAAGCTTATACTAATAGTCTTCTTCCTACAAGAAAACAGACAAGAACTTAATCCTCAGGATACAGATTACAGGTTAAGTACCTAGATTACTGGCTAGTTTTAAGCCAACTTGACACAAACTAAAGTCATCTGAGAGGAAGGAACCTCACTTGAGAAAATGCCCCCATAAAATGAGGCTGTAGGTCACCCTGTAGGGCATTTTCTTAATTGGTGATTGATGTGGGAGGGCCCAGCCCATTGTGGATGGTGCCATCCCTGGGATGGTGGTCCTCTGTGCTATGAGAAAGCAGGTTGAACAAGCTATAGGGAGCAAACCAGTAAATGGCATTTCTCCATGGCCTCTGCATCAACTCCTGCCTCCAGGTTCCTGCCCTGACCTCCTTCAGTAATGGACTACAATGTGGAAGTATAAGCCAAATAAACCCTTTCCTCCCCAATAGTTTTGGTCATGATTTCATCACAGAAATAGTAACCCTAACTAAAACAATTAAGTAATTGAGTAAATAAATGAAATTATTTTTAAATTGCATAAAACCTTTCTAGAAAATTAATAATTATAGAATCATACATATTAAATTCCAGTCCTTATTTTCTCCAGCTCATATTCTTTTATTTTTCTCCATAAATATATAACTATCATATGACTATATGATATTGTTTTCTCATTCATCCCCTCTATCCTTAAATGTTGTAAGATATAGGGCTGGTTTGTTTTCTCCTAAACCTTGTGTCTTTGTTTGTTTGTTTGTTTGTTTGTTTGTTTTTTGAGACAGAGTTTCTCTGTGTAGCCCTGGCTGTTCTGGAACTCACTCTGTAGACCAGGCTGGTCTTAAATTCACAGAGATCTGTCTGCCTCTGTCTCCTGAGTACTGGGATTAAAAGTGTGCGCCATCACTGCCCAGCCCAAAACTTTGTTTCTAAAAACTTTATTCCTCCAATAAAGAATATAATCACCATTATTTTACAAGTGATAAAACATGCCCAGAGAGTTTCCATTTATGCACATTTCTATTTCAGTCTAGAATCAGAAGTGCCTTGTGAAAAGCTGAACAACTGAAAAGTTTCCCTTGGGGCAGGGGAAACATTTCAGTCAGTAAAATGTCAAGTGTGACCACGTGCATCTGTAACCCTAGCACACTGGAGGTGCAAACAGGTGAATCTCCAGGGCTCACTGGCCAGCCAGTTCTGTCATTTCTTAAAAAATATAATGGAGAGTGGCTGAGGAAGATTCCCAGTGCAACTTCTAGCTTACATGTGAACACTCATCCATACATGATGATACAATTTTCATTAGCAATTTCTTTCATGACAGGTTCCCAGTATTCCTTAAATTACCCATCTAGCACACCATTCACAAGGCATTGTTAGTGACTACCAAGCCCTGATAATTGGAGAGGTGAACCCCAGCTTCTGCACAGGTTAGAGAGCTTGGGCTTCATTGGACCAACCCTAGAACAAATATATAGACTAAGCATTGCATTTAAGTAAATTTTATATTGACAAAACTTTATTATGATCATTTCTGATTCTGTTCTGCATAGACATCAAAGATGTGATAATTTGGGGCAATATCAGTGGAAATAACTACGTTGATCTAAGGAAAGCAAAAGTTTACAACTATGAGAGCGCCATTAAGGGACCTCCTGGATACTATCACTCTGTGTTAGGCATGATTTTTGACAGGTACAGTCTATTTTTTTAAGTGAAGTATACTAACAGTAGATAAATTAAATGATGTGTAACAGTTGAAAGCACTATTAAAACATTTTGTAAAGTTTGCATAAAATAACTTACATTGTTTATACATGTATGTGTCTGTGTTTTCTATTGAAGAACCAGAAAAATCCACAGAATAGTAACTTGTTGGTCCCCACCCCCATTTGATTTATTTTAAAATGAAGAACTTTCATATTTCAGGCTATCCTGAAAGTATTTCCTATATTCTGTTACAGTTGTCTCTACTGCAAAGCAAATGTCAATGCAAAGACAGGTATATATCCAAGTAGAAAACAGTTGAAGCATTTGGAGGAAGAGTTAAGATGATGAGCAGGCCATGTCAGGTTGACCATTAAGAGTCCCAAGAGAGGCAGAGCTGAAAAGTAGTGTGTCCCAAGAGCAAGAATCCCCCTGGGTTGGAATCCTGTCACCATCACTTATTAGTTGTGTGGCTTTAGGGAAGTTACATGAAATTTGTGCCTCAGGTTCCCCACTGAGGGGATGGAAATGGTAGCATGGCCTGTTCCGTGGAGAATAAATGGGAAAAACCAATGAATTCATCCAGGGAAACTATGGTGATATTTTATTTGTGCTGAAATGTGGTGATACTTTATTTGTGCTTTAATAAATAAAGCTTGCCTGGAGATCAGAGGAAATAGCAAGCCATTTTAAGTCAACAAAGAAGTCAGGCAATGGTAGCACACACCCTTAATCCTATCATTTGGCAGGCAGAATCTCTGGATCCTGGCCACATTGGAAACAGAGCCAGGTGTGGTGGCACATGCCTTAATTCCAACCCTAGTTAACCATGGAGGTCTAGAGGTCTGTACAGACAGACAGGAAGTGACAGAGCTGGGCAGGAGGAGGAAGTGATGTAGCTTGACAGAGAGAGCAAATCAGATGGCAGAACAGCAAGGCATATAGACACAATAGACAGGAAGTAACTGGCATTTGGAAGCTGTGGAGTTGGTGAGGTAAGGTTGGCTGGTGGCTTTCCCTGTTTCCCTGATCTCTCCCAGGCTTTAACCCCTATGTTTAGCTCCATATTTTTTTATTTAATAAGAGCATTCAGAAATTCATCTACAGGAAACCCTGGTATCGTGATGAGAAAGGAGAGCAGCCAGAGCCCCTCTGGAGCACTTTTCTGTTATCTGCCCCAGTTCCCCAACTGCAGCTTTTCCTCTGTCCTTTATCTCCCCCACACACACCCCCTTCAGACCAGGGCATTGTTATCCATGCCTAGGAACAGTGTGTGCTGGGCTCCCTCTCCTGGAGTGAGTGGGGTCAAAGTTACAGGGATCTGGGGCATTCACTGACTCACTAGTAGGGTAAACCTTGCTCTCACCCAGCTGGGCTCATTCCTGAGTTTATACTTCAAGACCATAAAACGTATTACCCCAAATCTCAATGTGATATTTCACTGTTTAATGGACATACTTGATTTTAAATGAAGGATATGACTGGTCCCAAGAAAGCATCTACATATGATTAATTACTTGCAATGAAAGAAATTGTTTCTATAACCTTTGAACTTTTTCCGGTGTTCCATATTTTATTACTACACTTCAGACTGAAATTTGGTGGTTCCTTCTGCCCAATTGCATTGTTTTCTTAGGTAATAAGGACACCCGAAGAAAAGGCATGTGGGTCACATTCCTGTTTAGATGGTGCATTTAGCTCCCTAGACTGAGTTTACCCTTTCCATCCCTCTCTCTGCTGTGAAATTGCTTTTTTTTTCTCTTTTCTCAAAGTGAATGGATAAGAAAAGACTTTGTGATGATGCTTCAAGAATTGAGCAACACTGGAAAGGAATTTGGAGGGATTTTGGGTGCACACAGCATAGCCACCACACTGAAGTACTGGTATCAAGGCTCACCACCTGGAGAGATTGTTTCCTTGGGGATAATGAGTGAAGGTAATAATTCCTGTAGCATGGTATATAAGTTGTGCAGATTTTAATAGTACCATCATTCATTCATTCATTCATTCATCCGACTGTTCATTCAAAAATTCAACAGTATTTATTGTGAATGTACTAGAGAGGCAGACAAGGATTACACCTGGCTTCTGCCTTCGGAAAGTGATGGAGTTAAGGAGAGCCAGGTCTCAAGAAGTAGTCTCATGACATTTTTCTCTCTGTATCCAGCTGAGAAAGAGAAAACCAAATCTATTCTAGGCAGGGAGCAGGTAGTCAGATCCAGCTTCATGAAGAGAAGGCATTGCAGAAAGTCTCAAAGTCTTTGATGCTGACCTGGAAGGCCAGTGTGGGAGGGCGCTGAACACCAATAGCAAAGACTCAGAGCCAGTATACAAAAGTGCAGGGAGACCCATTCTTCTGGAGATCAGGTAGCACTGGAAATGTGGAAAGGCTGCTGTAGTCGAACTTTAGCTCCCCAGTAATAACACAGAGGCTTCTTATTAATTATTAATTTTATTATTATTAATTGTGAAAGCTCAGCCGATAGCTTGGGCTTGTTTCTAATTAGCTCTTATAACTTAACCCATTTCCATTAATTTACTTTCTGCCACATGGCTTTACAACCTCATCTCCATAGTACCCATCCTATTTGCACTATGTCCCTGGTGTATCTGCCCTTCCTCTTCCCAGCATCCTGTGTGCCTGGAAATCCTGCCTAGCTATTGACCATTCAGCTTTTTATTAAACCAATCAGAGTGAAACATCTTTACAGTGTACAAAGAGATTATTCCACAACATTTCCCCCTTTTTGTCTGAATAAAAAAGAAAGGTTTTAATTCTAACACAGTAAAACTGTATACAATAAGAACAATTATCAGGTAAGAATTACATTTACAATGCCCAGTCCATTTGCATTTCACAAATTTGGAGAAAATATCCCATTATCTATCCTATCTTAGTCCAAAGTTTTATACCTAAACCATTTTTTGTCATAACTTGTATTACCATCCTAAAATATCTTTTTAGATCTTAAAACTTTTTAGATTAAAAAAAACTTGAGGTTTTATATTTCTCAGCCTTATAAACCTTACATCTCTTATGTAAATCTCTTTTCTGAATTTGGTAACAAGGAAACTGTAAAACTATAACCATCTAGTCTTCAATCACCATCAGAGACCCATGAAAGAGAAAATATTACTTGAGTAAACAGGAAGTGCAGAGCAAGCAACTTCCAAAATTATAAGAAATGACAAAACAATCGGCTGCCCGGACAGTCACCCAAGGTTCCTTTGTAATATTGGAGCATCCATCTTCAGCCTGCAGGCCTAGAATACCTGACAGACTTTTCTGTAAAGCAGGAATTTTTGAAGAACTGTCCTACCTTGTTGACAAAGTTTGGCAGTCACTTTCTTTTGTGTCCTTGTCCAATTTAGACAGCATACTGTTAGCCGCCAAGGCAAGGGCAGTTTCTTGCCCAAATGGCTAGTTTTTGCCATAAAGAAAGCAAACTCCATATGGAGGTTCTTTGATTCCCATCGCCCTTTTATGAAGTAGATTGGTGCTGCCAGGAGCAGACATGTCTCACTGTCATGAAAAGCCCTATGTTATTAAACGGTATATTCTGAAGGTCTCTGAAGTGCTTGAAGACCATCTATCTATTCAAACTATGTCTCTGACCTTGAAAATACACCAAATATGACTATAAGTTTGATTGTTATAGTGGACTACTAATCTATATTTCTTTATTATCCTAAATAGCTTTCAAGGGCTATAAGTTTATATTACACTTTAAAATAAACTGCATAGGTACAATATCTTTAAACAAGAATAGAAACATATATACAGTATAACAAAAATAATCTTAAATTTGTATCAGTATACAAAAATCCATACCAATGTAAAATATTTGAGACTAGTGGTTGTTCAAAAGTATATTCAACAATCCACCCTTTAATGTTATCATGTCTGTATTATATCCCCCCTTTTTCCTTCAGAAATAGATCTTTGAATCTAATCTCCTTTGTTTAGCTTTCCCCCTGACCATGACCAATAACAGCTTGTAACCAATCCCCCCTAAACAATGACAAACATCCATAACCAACTGAATGACTGAAAACCACCCACCCCACCTCTTGGGAATGTGGGTGTTATGTTCTCTAGACTACTTCCTGTTGTCTGGGGGTGCTGACATCTTTAGGGGACCCTGAGAAAATTAGGATAATGGTTAAGTCCTGGCTAGAATAGTCTGTGAGGCTGGACCACCTCAGCCAGCAGCCTTGAAGCAGCAGTTCTGGATGTAGAACTCTTAGGAAACTGCAACAGAAGCACTCTGAGAGGCTGCATCACCTGGGCCACTCATTTTCATTGGTTTTGGGTCCCCTTGCTCTGAAAACACATAAACATTCAAAGATAGCATACATATCTGCATTAACACAATTATGGACTGTGCACTGTACACAAACCAGCCAAAGATGATTTTTTGTTTTATGTTTGAGCAAGAAAATATACATTACCTGTCTTGTAGTTTTTCTAGGTTTATTTATGTCTGTAGCTAAGAATTTCAGAGGATACCCCCTACCCACCCATAAAATCTGGTCTCTATTGACCTTGAATGAGTCCACAACTTCTCATTTTCTGTGGAAATAAAAGCATAACCTCATCCCCAAAGTAACATGTTTTTTTTTTTACTTCCATTTTGAAGTTAAGGCATTTTTAAAATGTATAGGTTGATTTAATTTAGTAGTTTTTTTTTATAATCCAATGTCTCTCAGCAGTTATTGTTTGCTCATCAACAATTAAAAAAAATTAAAGTCAATACAACACCATACAGGACCCAGACTCCCTATATATTTCCCATCTCTACATAACTTATTCTTTTTTATTAATAAATATTTTATTTATGATTTACTTTTTTCTATGACTGTCTATACTCACTTTCTTTTCTTTCTTAAGCCTACACACAATCTTAGATACACTTTAACCTGTTTAGAAGTTCTTTCCAGCTGGATCTGTCTTTACTGAGCATCTGCAACATTCTCTGATTGTGTGAGACCAATCTTAAACTGCTAATGTCAGCTGCCAGCAGGGCTTGGTTTAGTGCATTTCACTGGTGTGTGCTCGAGGCTGGCTCAGCCTGCAGGCAGCAGCCGGTAGGTAGCTGCACCTCTGTATGATGCCAAGCACCAGCCCGCCTGAGAGCCTGCAGGACTGGGAAGCTACATCTGGCTCTTGGTCCAGAACTTTGTTTTGCTTTCTTGGGCCCTATGTTTGAATATATGAGCCCCCACACTGGATGCCATTTGTAGTTGGACTTTTTTGTCAGACCACCAGCTCCCCAATAATGACACAGAGACTTATTATTAATTATGAAAGCTCAGCTAATAGTTTAGACTTATATCTAACTAGCTCTCATAACTTAAATTAACCTGTTTCTATTAATTTCCTTTCTGCCTTGTGGCTCTATTACCTCATCTCCTTAGTGCCCATCCGGCTTGCCCTGCATCCCTGGCATCTCTGCCCTCCCTCTTCCAGCATCCTCTGTGCCTGGAAATCCTTTTCGCTTTTTATTAAACCATTCAGAGTGACACATTTTCACAGTGTACAAAAATATTATTCCACAACAGGCTGCCGCCCATCACCAAAACTGCAGAGGCATGCTGTAAGCTAACACGTATGCGTAAGTCTCCCATCATCCTCACAAACTAGGAAAGACAGTGGCTGCTGCTGTGTCCTCTGTAGGTTCAACCTTAAGCATTTCTTCCTTTTTGTTTTTGTCAATCTTGTTCACTCCCTGATCTTCAGACCCGGGCCTCTCTGCTGAGTTCTAGCCTCAGTCGATTGGAAACATGACCACGTGGACACCATGCTGTCAACCCAACATATGGCAACCTGAACCTGCTGGCTTCCTTCCCACTCAGCTCCATCCCTGGCATCCCTCGTGTTATCAATAATGCCACCATCTCCTCCTTGTTCCAATTTCAGTGCAGCTCAGAGACGTCATCTAAAATCTCCAGTGTGAGAATTAATGTCTGTCTCTCCCCATGCTCACACAGCATGTTGTTCCTCTCTCAGACGGAATATTCTAATGGACCTTTGTAGATGCATACATCCTCTTCATTAGAATATCCGCACTGAGGGTAGGGCTTCCTCTGTGTCACCTCCACATCCCTATGGGAGAAGTATCTCAGGTGACGCTCAGTCAGAAGTGTACAGTTGAAGTAGCAATGCCTGAACATTGCCACACTGGGCTTCAAGTTGGTTGGTATGTTACCTTTGTGGAGAAACAGGCATTGAAAACCCTCAGCAGATCCTCGCTTGACCTGAGTTCAGTTTGCTTTCTGGGATTCATACGGACGAAGGAGAGGACCTCCAAACATGCACATGGCACATGCGCACGCACACACACACACACACACACACACACACACACACACACACACACACACACACACACTGTACCATATACAGGCCAGTAGTGAGCTGTGCCTCCCACAGCCACTGACAGCAGTGATTCTGATGTGCAGAATAGCAGGATTTAGCAATGCACTACCTGAAAGCCATTCGTAGGAAGTGAATACAATAGGAAGTAAGTATGATTAGTGTTACAAGAACACAGGTGGAGAATTGGAAGCTGCAAGGAAATAACCAGGTCTCCTGCCCACTTTCTCCTCTCCTCTCCTCTCCTCTCCTCTCCTCTCCTCTCCTCTCCTCTCCTCTCCTCTCCTCTCCTCTTCTCCCCTCTCCTCTCCTTTCCCAGTCCAGCATTCCTTGCCAACATGGCTGCTATAATGTGCTGGTTTTGTGTCAACTTGACACTAGCTGCAGTCACTGGAGAGGAGGGAGCCTCAATTGAGAAAATGCCTCCGTGAGATCGGGTTACCGACAAGCCTATAAGGCATTTTCTTAATTCGTGATTGATGCAGGAGGACCCTGCCTAATGTCGGCGGGACCACTCCTGGGTTGTTGGTGGTCCTGGGCTCTATAAGAAAGCAGGGTGAGTATGCTATATGGAGCAAACCAGTGAGCATCACTCCTCCATGGCCTCTGCATCAGCTCCTGCCTCCAGGTTCCTGCTGTTTGAATTCCTTCAATGATCAACAATGGTGATTGTTAGATCCAAAGGAAGCTCCAGTTTCCAAAACTCTAAAAGTCAGTTCAAGCCGGGCGGTGGTGGCGCACGCCTTTAATCCCAGCACTCGGGAGGCAGAGCCAGGCGGATCTCTGTGAGTTCGAGGCCAGCCTGGGCTACCAAGTGAGCTCCAGGAAAGGCGCAAAGCTACGCAGAGAAACCCTGTCTCGAAAAACCAAAAAAAAAAAAAAAAAAAAAAGTCAGTTCAAATATCCAGAAATGGGCTCAACCTGGAATATAGAAGAAGTTCTGGTGGTTAGATAAAAGCCAGAATTCCTCCGGCATTTGTGAAGCTGGTCGCCCGCTACCAAAGCAGTTATTTCCCTTACCTCGGGCAGAACCGGCAAATGACTAATGTAGTGCCTATTAGCATGCCAAAATGCATGCTGGCCTCCTGGCTCCTTCAGAATCACAAGAACCTGTTACACATTTCAAAGTCCATGCTAACCTCCTAGCCCTTCCCAACCTCCTCCCCTACTCCCTCAAGCTTACGTTTCTCCTAGCTACTCATTCTCCTTACTGGCCCTTGGAAGCCAGGCGATACCTACAGCTCCGTTCTGGTGGGGATGGTTTCCCCACAGGAAGGTAGCAGTTTTGCTCCTGTCTGGAAGAGCCCTTACAGCTCCACTCTGCTCTGCTAAGGGAGTTCCCCACAGAGAACAGCTTTGCTCCTGCTCCCAAAAAAGTTGTTACTTCTCTGCTCCACTGTGCTAAGCGAGTTTTCCCGGCAGAAATGTAGCAGTTCTGTTCTTGCTCCAGCGAAAATTGTTACTTCTCTGCCCCAGCCCACTGGAGTAAAAGAAGTCACCCAAACCTCATTCAAGGGATTTATTGGGAAGGAGGAATCCAAGAGAGTGGCTGCCTCTGCCTGGGCGGAAAAGGCAGCTCCAAGCTAAACAGGCACAGGACTTACGGAGCTTCTTAGAGGCAGAGTTTTTCTAGGGTGAAGATTTTCAGGGTAGGAATGGGTTAGATTTCAATCCCTGAGCTTGGACAAGCTCAGAGATAGGCTGGATTTCCTCCTCGGGGATTGGTTGATTGGATAGTGCTGAGTTGGTCAAGGGCAGAGTATGTTTCTTTGGCTCTGATTTCAGGGACAGGGTGTTTTTCTCTCGCTGGCCCTTTTTAACCTTTTGGCTCTGGTTTCAGGGTCAGTGTTTCTTTGGCTGACCCTTTTACCCTATATTTATAACCCTGTTTTTGCTGTCTGTCTATCTATCTATCTATCTATCTATCTATCTATCTATCTATCTATCTATCTATCTACCTATCTACCTACCTACCTGTCATCTTTATGTCCCCCTTCTCTCTTTGCCCCCCCCTCACTTTATCTCTCTGCTTCTGTTTCTATCATGACCAGGTCCAGTCTACTTTCTTTCTCTGCTCTGGACTCTTCCAGATGCCTCTGGGTGTTCTCTCTCGCATATCTACAATAAAAAAAAACTCCCCCCTTAATCATATCATGGAGCGGCTGCGTCATCAGTTTATACAAGGATGAAGCATAAGCCAAATAAACCCTTTTCTTCCCCAGGTTGCTTTGGCCATGGTGTTTCATCACAGCCATAGCGACCCTGACTAGGATATGGAGTAAGCTAGAACAGAAGGCCAGATTAGACAGGGGGTTCAGGCTCGTGGGAGACATGCAGAGCCCTGGACCGGCTATGGGAAACAGGCGCAAATTACACACAAGGCGTGGAAAAGAAAAGCACTTCCTTTCTTGTAGGGGACCAGAATTTGATGCCCAGTATTCGTATCAGGCATCCCACACTACCTGTAACCCCAGATTCAGGGCATCTAACACCCTCTGCTGGCCTCCTTATGTGTATGAATGCACACGCGCATGCACACGCGCACACACTCACACACACACACTTAAAATTGTGTACTATGAGTGTCGTTCTCAGTCCTTTTTCCAAATCCTTCCTGATTTGCTCATGGTCTGCCTTGTGTGTGTTCCCTGCAGGCCAGTTTGGTATTCCCGAAGGGCTCGTCTTTTCCATGCCTGTGAAATTTGAGAACGGAACTTGGGTGGTTCTTACAGACCTTGAGGACATTTCACTGACTCCGCAGATAATAAACAGGCTCGCAGACGATCTGGTTCAGGTAAGGCAGGGGACTGCAAAGGAGCTGGTCTTGATAATGCTCCTCACATGGTTCTGTAGGCTAAGGTGTGCATGCTTTTCTGGGCTCGATTTACATCATATTCCTGAAAACCATAAAGCAGCAAAGGTTTGGAGAATACAGCAAAAACGCCTGTTATGCATCTGGTTTTATAATTTTCAGTATGCTAAAAATGTTTGTTTCAAATCAAGAACCAAAGAATTTTTCTGTTAAAGAATGATTCAGTGGGTACTGTCGTTTAATTCTCTGATTATAAATTTTTCAACAGGAGAAACTTGTTGCACTCGGAGACATATTATCTTTTCAGCCAATTCAAGAAGGTAATCTCATAAATGTGTTGTTTACTGAGCTAATGTCAAAATGGTACTATAAGGATGTAGGGATGATTTAGGGATGTAAGGATGTAGGGATGTAGGGATATATGGAAGGTTCGGTGGTTAACAGCACTGGCTGCTCTTACAGAGAACCTAGGTTGGATTTTCAGCTCCCCCTTGGTGACACACACACACACACATCCACAACTCCAGTTTCAGTGTGTCCGGTGCCCTTTCCTGGCCTCCTTTTTCACCAGACACACATGTGGTGTACAGATAGGCGCAGGCAAAGTGCTCATACACATAAAATAAAAATAAATCTTTTTTTTTTTAAAAAAAGGTACTATAGGCTGGAGTGGTGGCCTATGGGTAAGAGCACTCGCTGTGCAAACATGAAGTTTGAATTGTTGGCACTAACACAGGAAAGTAAGTGTGGCCACACACATGTGCCTACCAGCCCAATGCTTTGGGCAGGGAAGAGATGCGAAGGTCTCTGAGGCTTGTTAGGAGCTAGCCCAGCTCCATTTCAGTGAGAGACCCTGTCTTAAAAACAGAGTGGAGAGTGATAAGAAGAGCTATGGCCTCCTCCTTTTGCCTGTCCACACACGGCCAGGCCCATGCACCTGCATTCACATCCATATTCACATGCAGGTCACACACGTAGGAAATACTTGTTGTAACTGGATTACTATTACTAATATAGATAACTAGAATCTGTATTTTGTTTTTAAACTAAATTGTTAGCAAAGTGAGCTGTTAAGTTCAGCATGTCTTTAGAAACAAATGCTAAGGAAATCGTATTTTTAGAATACAGTGGCCTTATAAATTTTGTATATTCTACATTTTCTAGTTTTCTAGAATGAATATAACAAATTAGCAGACATCAGGTGGTTTAAGACTAAGGTATCAGGAGAGCCATGTTCTCTGCAAGCTCTGGAGAAGAACCCTTCTTTACCTGGCCTAACTTCGAGCAGAAGTTCTTGGCCGTGTTGGCTTGTAACTACATCACTCCATTGTTTGCCATCCTGCACGTCTGTCTGTCCAATGGATGTCTGTGTTTCCAAAACTCCCTCTAGTCACAAAGACATTAGTCATTGCATTTAGGACCTGTCTTAATCCAATATGACTCCATTTAAAATTTCATTTGTAACTTTTCATTATATATATGTGTGTGCACATTCATGAATTTATGTGTACCACATGAGTGCAAGAGCCGGCAGAGACCACAAGAGAGTGTTGGGTCCCCTGGAACTGGCAGCTGTAAGCTTCCATGTGGGTGCTGGGAACCAAACTCTGGTCCTCTGAAGAGCAGCAAGTGCCCTTACCTGCTGAGCTCTTGTCGGCCCCTGTAAAACCCCATTTGAAACTGATTATCTTGCTAAGTCTCTGTTTACAAACACGGCTACAAGCACAGGCACCAGCGGTTAGAACTGCAATGTACGCTTTGGGAAGCAGGGCCTAACCTATCAGACCATATTTACTTTCAAATAACTTTATTTAAACGCTGGTAACTCTCAATAAACACATTTTTCTCACTGACATTTTCTCTAATCATAAACTCATCAGGAAGTGCTGCCATCTCTCCATTTTTCTTCTTTTTGCCATTAAAAAAAAAAAACTTCTTAAGGTAGCACATGCCTAGCACTCAGGTGGCAGAGGCAGGCAGAGCTCTGTGAGTTTGAGGCCAGCCTGATCTACATAGTAAGTTCCAGGACAGCCAGGGCTCTGAGGAGAGACCCTGCCTTGAAAAGCAAAACAAAACAAACAAACAAAAACAACAATAAATTCTCAGCTTACATACATTTGTTTATGCAAAGAGCATTAAACAAATATCTTTTCCAACCTAAGATTCTCTCTTTCTGCTAATATTTGTGGAGGGCCAACAGTGAGCTGACGGTAGAGACTGGAAGTACAGAGTAGAAAAAGTAGGTGGTGGCCACGCCTTACACAAACAACATCTTTGTCTACACCTCGGGAAGGAGAAGCAAGGGGTTCTGGGAGGGCTTATGTCTGGGAATAGAAGAGAAACCCTGGCCAGCGGGCACCTAGATGGGCTTGTTTGAAAGGGCTCCGGGAGAGCTTGGGTGATCAAGCCTAAGCAGAACAGCCCGAGGAGGAAGAAGAGCCATGAAGACCAGCTAATGGAAGACTTCTGGGAACAGGTGGCAGAGGGCAATGGGATGGGGCAGGAGAGCCAGACACACAGGAGGAGCAATGAAGCCCGGTCAGTTGTGCAAACCGTTCAGAAAGCAAGCCTGTTCACAGAAGACAGAGGTGTGAAGAGAGTAGCACATTCACATGAAGAAAGGGTGATTTCAGCCAAAACTCGAAATAATGGAAAGCCAAAAGCTGTGAGGAGATACCATTCTCAAGACTTGATGATGGACTGACTCTGCAGAGTCCCGGAGGACTCGGGTTCTTTCTGGTTGGGCAAACAGGTAGATTTATTGACAAGGGAAAATGGCAAACAAGAACACCAGCATTCGGAGACGGGGATATAAGCCCACGGGTGTGTCAGTGGGTGTGAGTGGGACATGAGAAGCTGTAATGTGAGAGCAGCTGAAGAGTGAGTTGGAGGTCTTACAGTCTGACTGTGAAATACCTATGCAGTGTCTGAAATGGAAATATCAGATAGAGAGTGTCTTACTTTTTAGAGTAAGGAAAGTCCTGGAGGACAATTGTCAGAAAGGGAGCTGTTGCTACCTAAACAGCAATGGACACCTGATGATGCTGGCTTTATGTAGAAAACTAGAGATTAAGGAGGGATCCAGCCTGGGATAGTTACATAGAGGAGGAGAGGTTGGCAAACGTGCATGAGGGAAAGATGGGATGAGATGAGATGATGTCAGGAAGGAAGACCAAGTTGTATAATGTTGATGGCAGTGGGGAAGAGGGCCTGTCACACAGAATGAGGCCTCCAACCTACCCAATGAATGGATGGCACAGACGTCATTCACAGCTTTGGTGAGAATAACTTTATGGAATGAAAGGGGAAGAAATGAGACGAGAATAGAGAAAAAGGACTTCAGATTGTGGAGCTTGTGTGTTTAATGCTATGGGCCAGAGGAACGCACTGGGAGGTGCTATGAGCAATGGGGAAGGGATTTCTGAAGGCAATAACAATTAAGATGGGTTATGAGAAAAACACAAGACGGGTGGTAAATAGGAGGGTTCTAGTCAGAGGGAGCAACATACAGAAATGCAAAGAAGTAAGGAAAAGTGTTCCAAGACCTGATACATTTTCTACACAAAATAGAGCTTGACGTGAAGAATGTCTGGAGACAGGGAACTAGGAACCATTTTAAACCAACAAGGGATGGGGGACAGGAAAGAGAGGGAAGTAAATTTTAAGTTTGGCATGGTTGCTATCTGTAATGTCTGAAATAGAAGAATGAATCAAAAGAAAAACAAGTAGCAAGACCAACTCTGCAGCAGGAAGAGAGATAAGAGCCTAACAAAGCAGTGGCCATGGTGGTATAGAGGCACAGCTGGATTTGAAAGAGTTACAGTTGACAGAAGTTGGGCAGTCTGAGACAGAGGATAAGAAAAGGCCAGATGGGGGGTGGGGGGGCTAGAATGTGCCAAGGGTTGGGGCTGGAGAAATGGCCCAGTAGGTAAAGCACTTGCCAGTAGGTGCGAAGATGCTGGGTGGGCACAGACAGGAGGATCTTTGGTGTTTGCTAGGCAGGCTAGACAAATGGTGAACTCGAGATTCAGTGAGACCATTCCTCAAATAATAAGGTAAAGAGCAGTTAAGGAAGACAGCTGACATCAACCTCTGGCCTGCACAAATATGTATGTATGGAAACACGCACACATGCACACAAACACACACACACACACACACACACACGCACACGCACACGCACAAGCACGTGCACACATACACACACACACACACACACACACACACGCACAAGTACACGTGTATGCACAGATGCACGTATAAAGTGCCCAGGGCCTTTGGCCTTAGGACATATCAATTAGGACTATCATTCCCTGGAATAGAATTCCTCAACAGTGAGCCCCAAATGGGCTAGAAATGTGGAGCTGTTGATCTCAGTCCTAAGAACAGCTTGGGTAAGTTGGGGTCCCCAAGCTGGTTGCCTCCACTGCCCTTGTCATGTGCTATGTGTGCTGTCATAAAAGTGACTGGCAGAGCATGATTAAGGTAAAGCATAATGATGAAGGAGCAGGTTTTCAGGAATCCTGTAAGTGAATGTGTCTACTGAACAATGGACACATGCCTCTAAGCATAAGACAGATCTGGGCTGGATAGGTGTAGAAGTAACTGTCTTATTCAATAAGAAACACAGAGCCAATACAGAGATGAAAGCCAAGAGGTCAGAGCAATTAGCTAAGAGCTAAAAACCTTACCCTTCACTGTCGCTGTTGTCCTACCTCTCCGAAAGAGAGCTACTTCCTGTGTGTCTGTCTTTTTATAGTGTTTCTGTTCTGCCTTCTCATTGGTTGTAAACCCAACCACATGACCGCCGCGTCACTGCCTGTCTGTACAGACCTCCAGGTCTTCTATGGTTGGTATTGAGATTAAAGGCGTGTGTCTCCATGCTGGCTGTATCCTTGACCACACAGAGATCCACCTAGCTCTGCCTACCAAATGCTGGGATTAAAGGCATGCACCACCACTGCCCAGCTTCTGCTATGGCTCTAATAGCTCTGACCCCGGGGCAACTTTATTTATTAACATACAAATCACATTTTAGTACAAATAGAATATCACCATAGATAGGAGGCTTTGGAGCGATCAATAACCATTACTTTTTAGAAGAAACTGGTAGCTATGGGGACCTCTAGGAGCAGGTCACAGTGACTAGAGTAGGAATGCTTCTTCACTTGTGGTCTCTCCTCCCTTTGGACTTGGTTTTGTGAACGTTGCATATCCCCCAAAAAATGAACATACACATTCAAAAATAGAAAGAAATGGGTGACTATCTGGATGGGCGGATGTCAGTATTTAACCACCATTAGGAAGAGGGTGAAGCTAG